TTTATTTTTTATTTTTTTTAGGGGAACGCGTGCTACAGTAGCACAGCTACTGTAGCTACGCGTTTTTCCTCTTTTCTCTTTTTTTTTTTTGTTTATTATTTATTTTTTTTATTTTTTAAGTTAGGGGAACGCGAGCTACAGTAGCACAGCTACTGTAGCTACGCGTTTTTCCTTTTTTCCTTTTTTTTTTTTATTATATATTTTTATGCTGCACAGCTGCATCACACAGCTGCTGTGATGCAGCTGTGATGCAATTTTATTTTTATTTTTAGTTTTTACTTTTATTTATTTATTTGTTTATTATTATTATTTTTGTTTAAATCCTTGGATTAAAAGACTTCTAGATGGTATTGACCCATTCATTTATATGCGTCATTATGTGCGGATTAGAATGGTTGTTTGTTGTTCGGATTGTTTTGTTGTTCAACCATGTTGTTAAACCGTGATACAACAAGTGGAACAACAACCGAAGAAGAGACATTAGGAAAATCCACCTAAGTTGGATTTTCAATCAGAATCTCTTGCACATTCACTTTAACGTGGTTCATTGCTCCCACTAATTTGGCCATTTTCAATAAACCGATCATTACCAGACTCTACAATTCTCGTACTATGGTTAGGACAATATAATTTGTACCCTTTTGACTTTTCATATGGATTATATATCCTGACTTCTACTGGGCAACCCCAAACATGAAGATGTCTTAAACTAGGTTTCCTTCCCGTCCACAGTTCATAAGGGGTCTTAGGAACTACTTTGCTAGGAACCCTATTAAGTAAGTATGGTCCAAGGTCTAAGGAGTCTAGGAACTGCCCTAGATGCCTTAAACTAGGTTTCCTTCCTGTCCACAGTTCATAAGGAGTCTTAGGAACTGCCTTACTAGGAATCCTATTAAGTAAATATGCAGCAGTCTTCATTACATGCATCCATAATGATAAAGGTATAGTACTGTTACTTAACATACTCCTAACCATTTCCATAAGAGTACGATTTTGCCTTTCAGCTACACCATTCTGTTGGGGTGTACCCGGCATTGTGTATTACACGATTTCGCCTTTCAAGGAACTTTGCAAATGGACCTGGATATTATCCATTTTCATTAAATTTACCATAATATTCACCATCTCTATCAGATCTCACAACTTTAATTTTTCTATTTAACTGCCTCTCTACTCATTAATGAATATCTCAAGGATATCCATTGATTGAGACTTTTCATGCAGCAAATGAATATAACCATACCATGAGAAATCATCAATAAAACTGATAACTCCACCCCAAGAGGGAACATCAAAAGGACCATATATATAAGTGTGTATAAGATCAAGTAATTCACTGCTTCTTGTGGCTGGATTCTTTAATGTGTGATTAGTTTGCTTACCTTTACTGTAGTCTACACACATGTCCCAAATAGTAAAATCCAATTGAGGTAAGATTTCACTTTTCACTAACCTTAAGATCCTTTCTTTGGATATGTGACCTACCTGTGATGCCATAAGAAAGCAGAACATTCATTATGTGCACTACGTTTATTACCTATATTGTGCTCAACATGAAACAGGGATTCGACAAATTCAACATCAAGATTAAAACGATACAAACTATCAGTCAAAGTACTAGAACCATAATAGTACTTATGTTTGTACAATGAAAAAGCACCATTACAAATCTTGAAATTGAAACTAATATTGTCAAACCTCCCTACAGAAACCAAATTTCTGGCACATTCAGGAACATAGAGACACTTTTCAAGATTCAGATAACAACCAGTGTCGAGGATCCATCTATAAGTCTCAATTCCCTCTATTTGTACCTTCATTCTGTTTCCCATGTACAGGAACTTTTTAGTTCTGTTTATGGGTTGGATCGAAAGGAATCCCTGTATAATATGAGACACATGAATATTGCACTAGAATCTAACCACCAGGTATTATTAGGCACTTCAATAAGATTTGATTCAAAACATACTGAAACATAAAGTATACCTTTCTTTTCGAACCAAATTAACCACCAGGTATTATTAGGCACGATTCAAAACATACTGAAACATAAAGTATAGCTTTCTTTTCAAACCAAATCTTACTTTTAGGACAGTCCTTCTTGAAGTGACCATTCTTCCTACAAAAGTAGCACTCAATTCAATTCCTTACGGATTTGACCTTCATTGGGGCACTGTCCCTTTTCTTGCCTGTCTTCCATGATTTGTTATTGCTGCTGCTAGCTTCATTATGAAATGTGAGATTGACAGAGTGTTCCTTCAATTTCTTTAACCTCCTTTCCTCTTGTATCAACATGGCCTTGATTTCCTGAATGTTCCATTTTTTCCTTAAGGGTGTTGTAATTCACTTGGAACTGACCAAACTCAAGAAACTGACCAAACTCAAGAGGAAATGAGTTAATAATAAATTGAACTAAAAAGGATTCACTCACATCCATTCCCACGATTTCAAGTTGCTACCAAATTCTGCATCGCCAGTCACATGATCATGCAATGAATCTGTGACCAATCAACTTCTTGGTCGTTAAGCTCCTCATCAAGCGATCCTACGATGGACTTCTGTAAGCTATGTCCGATTGGGAGTATTCCTTAATTCTGTCACATTGTACTCTCTAGCATTTGTCTTGTTCTGGGCATTGATGGCTGGAAACATCTTTCAGCCATTGTCATCCCTCATTAAGGTTCAAGGCTCAGCCTATTAGACCGCTCCAAACCTCATTAATGGGACTTGTTCAGCTCAATACTGGTTCTCTGTCAATGGCTGCTGAGCCTTTTCAGAGAAAAACTAATGCCAGATCCAAGTCCAAAACTCCTAACTGCATAATGCGTAAAGTGGCCAAGGCCAGCACACCTTAGGCAAATCCCACACTCGGTTAAGGACGGGGTAACGACTATACATAAGAGGGGTAGCTCTAACTTGGTGTAGCGCGCTTTGGCGGGGTTCGCCAAAGCCTGCCTGAGGACAAATCCTTGAGGCCGGTTGCAAAGCCTAAAGCGGACAATCACTGACCAGGTCAGGCTACTGACAATTGTATCCAGAGCCGCGCCCCTGATCGCCCTCTGGCCGATGGTGGGGCCAAACCTCAGCAGGACGCTGAGTCCCCAAGGGGCGTATATGTGCACAGGCCAGCACACCCTTAGGCAAATCCCCACCATGTCGGTAAGACGGGGTAAATCGATCTATACATAAGAGGGGTAGCTTCTAACTTGGTTAGCGCGCTTTTGGGCGGGTTACCAAAAGCCCTGCCTGAGGGACAAATCCGTGAGGGGTTGCCAAGGCCTAAAAGCGGACCAATACTGACCAGCCGTCAGGGGCTACTTGGGACAAATTGGTAGTCAAGAGCCGGCCCTGCTGCCCTCTGGCCGGTGGCTTGGCGGGCAAAACCTCAGCGAGGGACGGCGTTGTAGGTCTCCAAGGGGGTATATGTGGCAAGGGCCAAGCACAACCTTAGCAAATCCCACCACTTCGATTTAAGGACGGGGGGTAAACGATCTATAACATAAAGGGTAGCTTCTAACTTGGTTTTCAGCGCGGCTTGGGCGGGTTACAAAGCCTGCCTGGAGGACAAATCCGTGAGGGTTGCAAAGCCTAAAGCGGACAATTACTCGACCAGGTCAGCGCTTTTGACCAAATAAGTCTCTTAATGCCATTGAGTATAAGTACATGCGTCTTACCCTTTGGAGTCATGGTAACCTAATAATGTTATAATCACATGCATCTTCAATTGTTCAATTTATTCTCATGTCATTTAACCACATCACACAAACATGAAATATAATCAATGATCTCAATTGTTCAATTTTATCTTTCATGTCATTTAACAACATCACACAAACATGAACAATTGAAAGCCGCATAATCAAATTTCTAAACTAATCCAAACAAGGCCACTTTGATGACTAACAAGTTTTTCATTCATTAAATATTGACTTATGCAAAACTTTATGAGATTGAATTAAAATCTCAAAACTTTAGTCACGTTATACAATAAGATGTCATAACATTTCTTTATAAATAACACAGCAGAATAATTTATAAAGCATAAAGAAAATAACCAGTTTTCAATTTCTATAATTTTGGCTTCGTTTATACTAGATTAATCAACTTCACAATACGAAACTAATTTCCATTAATTAAGCCAAATAAAAGACTATCAAACAAATCTAGAACAGGAATAGGTCTGATACCACATGTTAAATAAAACTTTAATATATCCTAGATCTTATTGTTCATAAAATTTGTTTCATAAAAAATACACGATAAGCGGAAAAGTACCTTGATCCATTGCTATTGATTACCTCGTTGCGGCAATTCAATTTTCACCGTAACAGTAGATCTATGTTTTTTCACTCTGACCTTCTTGCCGTAAGTTCTCTTTTAATGGTCAGAGAGTTATTAATCGCAATGGAAGTTATCTTTTCACGTTCTCTCAAACAACCTATCACCGCTATATGTTTGAGATAGCCATCACACTCTCTTTTCCTACGCTGTTGATTTCCTTGATCTTTTATAAGCCAAATGAAGGGTATTAAAACCCTTCACTGGTCATCATCCCATTAAGCCCAATAACCATCATCTTAGGCCACCTTAATTAGAACCAGCCCTTTAATTACATGAGCCATATAAATTATTAAAATAATCTAACAAATATCACATGGTTTACCAAAAAAAAACCTTTATATTCTCTTACACGAAGGGATTTATTTAAATAAAAAAGAAAAGAGTGGAGGTAAATCTGGTTTTGCCAAAAAAAAAAATCTACAAGTTTTATAATTTCTTCTATTCACAGTTATATTGATAGAATAGAAAGCTCAAACTAGTTACTTTTTCCAAATGATGAAGGCATTAAGATCAGAATGACAAGTTAAAAAGATTGGAAAATATACAAATATAGCTAAGGATTACAACCCCACAACCAATTTTTTGTCTTCTTTGAGAGTTTTATATTAAAAGGCTCTTTCCTAGAAGTTTCTTCTGAGTTTTGACAGGAGACGCTACATTTCTACTTGAAGCCTGTGAAAGTACTAATCATAATACAAACACCATCTGTGTGTTTCTTTCTATTTGCTATCTCTCTTCTCTTTATTTTCCTCATCAAGAAATTATTTTAATTTCCAGATTCTCATATACAAAGAAGCAATTTATGAGGTGAGTATTTAGTTACATATATTTTAATATTTATATGCTTCTTTGACATTTTGATTTTTAATTAGTAATATTTAATTATAATTAAAGCAGATACTTTTCTTCCAGCTTCTCTAATCTCTATTAGTGCAAAAGGAACAGCCAAAGCAGGATACAGCTTTCCTCTTTGTTTCCAATTCCAGGTAATTACTATTAATTTGCTACTTTGCTTTTCTTTTGCTCTGAGAATAAGAATGTTCTGTTTTTCTTTTTTCCTTTGGCAATGGCATCCATTCTTTTCTTTTGCTTTCAATCAACTTTAACAAAGAGGAATCATCACATACAAATTAATAATATTATTTAGTGCATTTCAATCCCTTAATTAATCATGTAGGGGCAGATTTTGGCTTTTAACTCTTGGTTTTGAAAAAAAAAATTACTTAATAGATGAAAAACTTTGATAGACTAATTCCTTTCAAGCGAGAGAGCAAATATATTTAAAAACTGTCTTAAGATGATGACTCACGACTCAATTCTGCAATCACGAGAAAGAAATATAGCGCACTTCAAGTATTCAACTACTAAACCAAAAATCTTGAGTTTGATTTTCCCTTTTAAGATTGAAACAGACTCAATCACATGAAGTACCAAACCGAATCGACTTGGTTTGGTTCATGCCTACTTTCATGTGCTAAGACAGCTTAGATGTTTAATTATTATAGTATATAATTTAAACAAAACCAATCAGTAAAGTAACTGATGAGCTCATCTGGTCAGGGCCTAACTACCGAAGTTGGAAAATGGACGTTTCACACCTAACCAAATGTGTTCCATATTTAAGTCACTTTGGGTTGAGTCCCTGCTTTTTTAAGGTAGGTCGTTCGATGTCAGATTGTCAGGTCACCTTCACTGGAGTTGTTAACATTTGGACCTTTCACGAACTTAACAAAATCATTTAATTTGTTTAAAGAAGAGTACAATAGGATCCGTGCATTGCTAAATAAACTATCCATCTCTTCTTTTTTAAAATACATTAAAATATTTTTATAGTTTACTTTCATCGAACTATTAGATTTTTTGTTTAATTTTTCCATTTATTTTATTAAATATTTTACGAAAAAATAAAATATTCTTTTTATTTTTAAAAACACAGGAATAAATTAGTTGTATTTTTTAAACTATAAGAACCGTACTGTAATTTTTTTGGTATAATATTTTAGTATCTCTCCTTTGACATCTATGCTTTCTTGTTGACTTAACAGAAAAGATGCAAAAAATGGACAAAATGACCTAATAATATAACGGAAGCAAAACATAGGGACACATTGTTATATTTTAAAAAAGGTAGAAACAAACTAACTGTATTTCGCAAATCACAAAGATCGTAATATACTTTTTCCTTGTTTAAATTACAATTAAATTATTAAATGAATTGATTATACTATCTTTAATTTATTATTTGACTGAAAATCGTTCAATTACTATCAGTCATACAAAAGATAAAAATAAAAAAATAATTTATTATTTGTTAATCAACAAATACAGCAAGTATTTAGAAATATATACTTTATCAAATATGACAAGTATTTGAAAACGGAGGAAGTATTAATTAATGACACCCTTATGGATTCAAAAAATTTTAATTAACATGATTAAATTATAAAATTTACTTATTTTTTTCTAATACACCATAATATTAGTTTGCATAAAAATTAAATTATTTTTGAAATTAGTGAAACATTATTAAAAAGAGTTTTATTGGAAGATCAAAGGTTAGCATGTTAATTTTATTTATTATCAAGATTTAATTAATGATAATATAGTAGTTTGACTATTATATTTACTAACAAAGAAGCATATTAAATAATGATAAAATATTAAACTTCAAATATTATTCAATTCTTAAAAAAAAAAAAAAAAAGAAAACGGTACAATAATTTGGAACAAATGAAAAAAGAAAGCAAGATAAAACTTATAGAACGGAGGAAATATTATATTTCTAGATGAATATTTTAAAATTAATTTTTCGAATAAATATTTTTTGAAGTTAGTTGAGAGTGTAAACGTAGTAATATTGATAATTTATAATAACACAAATGTTAGAAAAAAAAATTTATATATAGATGCTTTTCTTGTTAAGGGAGGAATCAATTTGGCGCAATTTATTCATACTATTAAATGGATTAAAAATTTAAGTCGATTGAATTTTTAATTTTTTAATTTTATAGTTTGAAAAATAAAGAAAATCATCTCTTAATTGACTCCACTTCAACGTTGCTCACTTAGAATGGTAGAGAGAGAGATTCAGATTCTTAGAAATCAATCAACTAGGAACTCTGGGTGTATTTAGAATGAGAAAAGAGGAAGGATCTCTGTGCGTGTTTAGAATGAAAGGAGGAGGTCCTATTTATGAGAGAAAAGGATGAGAAAAGTGTCAAAATAGGCAAACGAGCGACAAAAACTCCACCCTAAGGCCTAGCGAGCCAGCCGCCTGATCTGATCCAGGCTGACCTTGGGTTTAGTTTTTCATTCTGTCTCAACTTCATTCACTATATGCAGAGCCGTTTTAACTTGGATTTTCGCATGCGACATATCGCTGAAAGGCTATGAATATCTAGTTTTGAATGCCACCTGAATCACTCAAAAAATTTTTTAGCTTGAGTTATGATTAAAAGAATGACAGAGAGTCGCCTTGGAGTTTTTTTGGTTTAATGACAGAGAGTCGCCTTGAGTTATGATTCAGATTCTTGACTGCTATAATGTTGATTTAAGACGCGCTTGATTTGGCTAAGCTGTGATGATCTGTGGATTTTATAAGGATATAAAAAGCACATATTGACAGGAGTGCAAATGCTTTTCATCAATTCCTCAGAAAACACTCAACCCATTACTGCAAGAATAGTTCCTTTATACTACCGAGTCACTCGTTGAAGTATATGTGCTAAGTTCCAACATATGATTCCGTTGGACAACTAACTAATTCAACTTTGCAATTTTAATTTTATGGCACTCTTGAACTTTGCAAATTTCATATATTTTTCTGAATATATCTTATATTTGTAATATATCAATTTTATCCTAATTTTAAAATTTAGTATTAATTAAAACTTCAAGTCAAATTTAAAAAGTAAAATTATTAGTATTTTATTATTAATTAGAAGTTAAAATATTGAATTGAATTATGAACTTACTATTTCAAGTTGTCAATAAGTTGATTTGGATTTTTTACTTTTATAAATTTTGTTAATTGAGTCATTGTTTTGATTCGCAAATGCCAAATTCCCAAAGTTGGAAATTCCAATTGTCATGGGCCAAATTAGGGGTGCATGACCGGCACCAGCATTACGACGGGGACTTATAAGGCTTTCAAAGAACATATATTATTATAATAACCACACAATATCTACATCACCACCGGTCTAGTTTGAACCAAAATCAAATTAGAATCAATTTAGGGTACCCAAAATTATAAGATATGGAAATAAATTATAAGGTTGGTTGGTTAATTAGTATCAAGAAAATCTTAGACTATAATAATATATTAATAAAGTAAGAGCCACTCAGCTGATAAAATAACTTGCAGGAAAACATTTTCTATAATTTTCCTTTATTTGGGCGTTTATAAAAATAATTCAACGGAAAATATTTTTCATGTCAAAGGAAAATTATTTTTTACTTTCAAGAGCGTAAAATATTTTTCGGACTTTAACAACTTATTTTGATATTATAAATTCATTTATTTTTAATTTATTAATCATTTGTAGCCACTACTATTACTCACCGTTTACCACCAAGCACACCATCAGCCACCACCACCGATCACCGGCGATTTTTATAATTTATCATTTTTTGCATTATTCTCATATTTAATAATAAAATTTTTGAAAATACAAATTTTATATTATTATTATTATTATTATTATATTATTGTATTATTATTATTATTATTATTTTATAAGGTAAAAATTTTAATATTTTTAACTAATTTTCAATATTGCAATTAAATAACCGAAAATAAGTTATTTAGAAAATATTTTGCTTTCCTTGAAAAATATTTTTCAAAGGAAAGTTATTTTTTAAAAATAAAGGGAGTTAAATGTAAAGAATCAACTTCTGTCGAATAAAAATTTGAATATTCACTTCTTATAAATAGAAAAATCTTGTTGGGAAGTTTATCCTTAAATGTCTGATGTCACAACGTACTAAAACCATATTAAAGCTAGCACAACTTACTAAGCACATCTATAATCTAAGAGTGGAAAAAAGTGAGAGGGATTTTTGCTTATTACACTCTATATATACGGTGAATATTTTTTTTATACATATGTATTGCACTATAATATTTTATTCAAAAAAATAATATATTTATTTCTCCCTTTAAAGCAGTAATTTAAATATGAAATGTGTCATTCAACGTATTGGTTTATACAATTTTTATTATACGTTAGTTGTTTTTATTTTCTTTTTTAAGAAAAAAATAAATAAATTTACAAAAATCACCATATAGTTTTTATTATATGTTTTATAATTAACTTATATGTTTTGTTAAAAATTTTCACTATAATCTTTTTTAATAAATAAATATACTTTAACAATAAAATAAGAAACTAATCTAATAAATCAAATAATTATAAATAATAATATATTTTTTTAATTTTTTAGTCATTTAAAATCATGGAAGCATTTTTAAAAATTATTAATAAAATTATTTTCTTTTATAGAATATGGATTTGAATTAAATAAGATATCAATAATCAAAATGTTCAAAAATAATTATTTTATTTTATTTTTTGGTCAACCAAATTGAAGTGCAATTTGTAAAAATCATACCCTTTTTAAGTCAAAATCTTAAATTATCTAGATATATTTATTTAAAATAAATTCAAAAAAGAAAATATAAAAGTTTTTAAATGCCCTATATTGACATATACTATTTTAAATAATAATGTTCAAGCTAAATTACAAATTGTAATAATAATAATCAATTATTAATTATTATTAAATTATTATTAATAATTTACATATACATAATAATATAGATGAATATAATATAATTAGACAAATAATATAGATAAAAGTAAAAATTGTAAAATTTGAAATGCTTAATGTATATGTATCTATCTATCAAAAAAAGTTTTAAACGAACCAATAAATCTATAAGCTATTACTATATATATAAATATATATATAATATAATATTATATATATATATATATATATATATAATATATATATATAGTCTAAAATTTTTTAATTGCTAAGACTAAATCTATTTTAGAATATCTTAAATTTTACAAGGAAATATCGGAAATCTTATTTCTTCCATCATTCTCAGCTTTTTATATAATAGTCCTTAAATTTATAATGTGCATTGCACGTTAACTATACTCGTTAAATATCATTCTTTATAATTTTTAATTTATATAATATTAAAGTATAAATTTAAATTTAAATTGAGTGGTTAAATTATATTACACTTTATATATACAGTAAATATTTTTTTGATTCTATGTTAACGTATTGATTCATACGGTTTTTATATACATTAGTTGCTTTTATTTTCTTTTTTAAGAAAAAACCAAATTGATTTATAAAAATCATCATATAGCTTCTATTACATATTTTATAATTAATTTACATGCTTTGGTAATAATTTTCATTGTAATCTCTTATAGTAAATAAATATATATTAACAATAGAATAAAAAAGATATCTAATAAATCAAATTAAATATTTATAAATAATTATAATTATTTTATTTTTTTAGCCAATCAAAATCAATCAAATCATGAAAGCTATTTTAAAAAATCATAATAAAATTATATTCTTAATAGAAATAGATTTGAAATTATATAAAAGTATCAATATAATTATTAAATTCAGATGTTTAAAATAATAATTTTATCTTTTTTTTTTTGGCTAACTCAAATAGAGTTTGTAATTAAAGAAATTAAACCATACCCTTTAAATCAAATTCTGAATCATCTAGATATTTATTTAAAATAATTCAAAAAAAATAAAAATTTTCAACTGCCTCATTTATATATATATTTAATATAATAATTGTTGAAGCATAAATTATAAAATATAATTATAAGAAATTATTTCAAATGCCTCATTTATATATATTATTTTAAATAATAATGTTGAAGCTAAATTATTAAAATTATAATTATAATAAATTATTAAAAATTATTAAATTATTTTTAATAATTTACATAATAATATAATGAAATAAAAAATAATTAGATAATAATAGTAAAAATTTAAAATTTTAAAATGCTTACTTATCTATATTTATTTATCTATTAAAAAAGTAAAAAAAAAAAACATTCAATCAAATTATAGAAATATTATATACATTTTTAGACTAAAATTTTTTAATAGTAAAAACTAAAGTTATTTTAGAATATCTTAAATTTCACAAGGAGAACATCGGCAATTCACTCATTCTTATTTTTAATATAGATATAAATAGATAGATATAGATGGATAGATAGATATTTTACAATTTTTATTATGTGAATGAACGTAAACTTTTAATTATTTATTAGTATTATTTATCGTATCTTACTTTAATCAAATTAATCTACCCACAAATATAATGTATCGAAGATTACTTATATATTCCTTCTCATACTATGGGCTAGAATTGAGATTCTATTTTTAAGATATTTTTAACTTTTATTATTCTGATTTCTAAGTGGGATTTGATTGTCGAACATTGTAGGGTGTTGTGTTTAATATATTTAATTGGTTTAATATATTTTATTCCATACTGGAATTTTAATTTGGAGTAGAATTTCGAAATAAGAAATTGAAAATGAAATGTATTTTCTGAAAAATTAATATATGAAAAATGGAATAGAATTGAAGAATAAATTTTATATTCTAAATTTTTATTTTTTATGTTCAATTATATTTACAATATAATTAAATTGTAAGTATTTTTAATGAGGGATAAATCTACTTATAATGTCTCAAACCTTTATGAAATTTTTTCAGTAATGTGAAACCGATTCCAAAAGAAGTTATGGACTTACAGCCAGGAAAATCAGTGAATTTCAGCACAATTGGCATCAAAAACCAATTTTCAAATTAGAAAACCAACTATTCCAATTTAGTTCCGGTTTAATTTTTAATTCTGATTTGCTTTTAAACCGTGGATGGCCCACCGGCTGAAAACCAACGCCTGGTTATTAGTCAAAATGGAATTTAGAAATACTGCCATGCCCATGCATGCATGGGCACCACCTTCATCGCAAATCCAGACAGGATTCGTTGTCGGAGGTCGGTCATGTGCCACCGCTTCTGCGAAAGAGACCCAAAAAGACAAATGTTAAATTAGCATAACTCGAACAAGCAGACAATGTATATACACACACATACATTCTCCTTACTTGTATAGGTAAACCTTTTTAATAAAATGCGCTTCCTCAAATTGAATTTATATTTTTACCTTAAGAGAATTTAAATCGTTTATTATCCCATCAATATTTTATTGATAAATAAATAAAAATATGTACACATATATAGCACGAGCACATATAAATATTAATGCTAATTATATGAAAATAAAATTCCTCATGCGTGTCTAAAGTGATTTCAAAATAATATTTGATCTTTAAATAACTATGAATTGAATTCCGGTGAATTTTCCTCGATTATCACAATTTATGTTAAATTATTGTGTAACTTTTATTAGAAAAAATCATTGACATAGAAATTAAAATAAATAAAATGTTTGATTTTTTTTTAAAATATATTTGTTCCCACCTTAAATTGAAAAACTTATTGATATAGTCCCCAATCTAAGGCATTTTTATAGAAATTTTCAACATACTAATAAATAATAATATATTCATTTACACATATACTATATGCCAAATTGCAGTTTGTTATATAAAGCAACTAAAACTATACATTAATTTTTCAAACAAATAACACGTAACCTCATAAAGAACCATATGTATAATCAGATATATATTTCAAGTTCATTGAGTAAAGATTAATTCAATTCGCATTAAAAATAAGGAGGTCATAATAGATGTTTACTCTGTTTATATGATCTTATTTAAATAAAAAGAGTATCAAACCATTCGTTCAATAACAAATTTTCAAAGAAAACGAGAATCAACTTTCATTTTTAATAGGGGAGGCAAATTGATATGTAGAATAGATTTATCCCCTGAGCCACAACGAGTAATTTTACGATCAATCGAGATCATAGGCGGTACTAAAAAGTAAATATTAGGATATGTTTCGTAATATTAATTGTTTGCTTTTAGTTGATAATTGTTTAGATTATAAGTACTCGGTAAAAATAGCTATTTAACATAAAATAGCAAAAAGTGATATATTAGTTATTTAATTAGCTGAATTTGAAGGAAAAAGACAATAGATATGATTCTCAAAAATATTTAATTAAAAACTAAATAAAAAACGTTAAAAGCTAAATATTAAAGTGTGTAAGGTTTCATAAAAAAACTCACTCGCTCAAACTTTAAAAGTTATTATAAAACTTTAAAAGTGTTTATCGAACGTTATAATTATGGAGATGAAATTTTAATTTAGTTAAAATGTTAAAAGTTAATTGAAAAGTTTTTGGCAAATAGAGCCTTAATCCTAGAGTTTTCAATTATATCTCTCTATCCCAGTCACCTGCTTCCCTCGATCTCTGACATATTAACAGCTAAAAGGGACATTAGAACTTGAAGGATCAATAAATGAGTGAATATTTTGTTTTTCATTTAAATAGAAAGTAGAATAGTGTCAAAACTTGCATAACAAGGAAAGCAGACATAATCCAAAAGGAAAAAGGATATACTTAATAAATATGTCAAGGAATTCCACAAAGGAGAAAAAGAGGTTAGGGTGAAATTTCTAGTCATCTTCTTTAAAGAAAGAAAATCTAAAGTCTGTGTCTGCCATATAAGCCAGGCCAATTGGAGTACATTTTAGTACTAACTAGCAAGTTCTTGATACCTTTTTTCAGAAGATGGATGTTATTTGGAAGCGAATCTTAGCTTTTTGAGAGGAAAGGAAACAATTCTATACGTGTAAATTAGTGTTCTTAAGCAACTACTAATCTTCCCTTCTTCATCCATCTTTTTCCCAAATTTTCCATCTTGTTGACTTGGCTCTCCTCCTCTCCTTATCTCAAGTGTTATCCGACATTTTTATATTTTTAATTAATAAGGTATGCTAAGAATGTTGTTTTTCTTTTTTTTTTTTTTTCTTTCTTTATTTATTGAGTTCCCTTATTTATTATTGCAATTTTCCCAAAATTCACTTTCTTTTTCCTGCAATTTTTTAGATTATTTGGATTAATCAAATGTTTTCCGGGGGACGAAATTTAAACATTTCATGAATTTATTGAATTTTTTATCCGATTGATAAAAATTAAATTACAATAGTGAATAGATATTTCTATTTTTGTTTCAATCCACCATTTTAAAAAAGATAAATTTCAGTTATTGACTCAATTCTATTATTGTTTTTATTAGCGATGAAATTTAAATCAATTAATTTTATTTAAAAATATCTGTGAATAAATTTATATGGCAATGAAAGAAAAGGTTATATGGCAATGAAAGAAAAGGTTATAATGTGTAATTTCATTTTTGGTGTTTTTGCAGGCAAAACCAGTGAGGATTTTATTTATCGTCTGTAAGATCAATTGATTTCTGTTGGAGCATTTGATTTTGTGGTATGCAATCCTAACTTAACTTCCTTATACATTAGATTTACTTGCACTAAATAAAATAATATACACAGTATATTTTTGTGGTACAGCTAATTAACTTTTTATCTATATTTATGTAAATATATAAAAACAGAAATACATTATCATAAAATCAAAAAAATTAAAATGCTGAAGTAGCAAAATAAATAATTTTTAAGTTGTTGGTTTGATAAGAATTTTTTTTTCAATTTACACATTAATTGATATATATTTATCTACTTATGTAAATCTATAAAACCTGAAGCATACTCACTGAAGTGGAGTCATTCAGTTTGCTTAGTGGGAATTTAGCTTTTTTAAAGGCGAATCTTTTTTTTAATGTCATTTATAAATTCTGATGGAGTGAAATTAAATGAAGTGACAACAGTTTGATTTGGTGCGGTTTGAAAAAAATTTTCAAATGAACCTAAAAATTACGGTCTACAAGATTTTTCACTTAAATCAAACCATTTAATCAATAAAATTAAATCAAATCAAATCAACAACAATGAAACGGCTTGGTGCGGTTCGATTTGCTGTTTAATACTGTTAAAAATAATTTATAAAATGAATTGTGTTAATTATAATTAAATAATGTAATAAATTCATAAACAATATATAATATATAAAATAACAAAAAAATTGGCATTTGAGGTGCTTTTCGAAAAAAAAAATTATAATTAGCAAAGAAGTGCTTAGGATAACAAAGAAGCATATCATAAAATAAAATATCAATTTGTATGATTTAAATTTATAAAAAATAATAATATTACATGTAAGTAACATTCATGATCTATAAAAATGTAAGCCTACTAATAAGCATCTATTCACAAAACAAATAATTTTCTTTTAATACTACAACATTAAAAATATAAGAAATAGCTTCAAAAAGAAGCTATCACATTCACAAGATGTATTTATAAAGTTTCAAATTAAATGTAAAATATAACGATCAAATCAACAACTTAATGGCACATGGAATACCTATAGAAAGTACTTAATAAAAAACTGTATACAGGAGATTTCTAGTTTGTTTTCTTCTTAAAAAAAAAATAGAAAGTCCTTGTGAAGATTTTAATGAATTCATATATAATATATAAAATAAATATATAGGAGCGGATTCGGAAAATCTAATTAGTGGGGACAATATATTAAAGTAATAATTCAATGGGGGCAAAATGTAAAAATTTAGTGGAGTAAATATAAATTAGCATAATTATATACACTAAAATATATAAAAAAACATAAATTAAACTATAAAAAACCATTGGGGACAAGTGCCTCCGGTTTAGATCCGCCCTTGTAGTTGTAGATATATAAAATCAGGGAAAAAAATGTGTTCTAATTTTTCTCTCTCAAGATGTTGTTTGGTTCGATTTTGAATGGTTTAATTAAATAAAAACCAAAGCAATTTGTTTTTTGAAAGTGAATTATCAAATTATAAACTGAACAAACCATGTAAAAAGATAAACCTTTCAAAATTAACGGTTTGACGCGATTTTTTGAAAATAATTATGACGACTTTTTTTAATTTTTCAGTTTCTTTTAGTAATTTATAAAATTGATAATGTCTTTAATATTAATAAAACATTTCAATTTCTTTTAATAATGAAATTAATAATATCATTAATATTATTATTCATTGAGTGAAATAAAGTTTTATAATAATAAATTGCTAATATCATTAATATTTTAAAATTGTTTCAACTTTTTTTTAATAAATTAATAAAAACTGTTGGTTGCTTTTTAATATTTAATCACATTAATCATATTATGAATATAATTTCAAAATAATAACTAAAATTGTATTTTTCCTCAAAAAATAACTAAAATTATATTTATAATTAATATCAATATAAATTATAATAAAACTAGTAATATCGGTTAACATTTTTTTAAAGTTTTTTTTAACTTTAAAAGAGATTATTTTTTTATCTATATCTACTTTGCCTTTTTATTTTATTTTTTCTATTTTTGACTGTATTATAATTTAATTTTCTTTTAATTTAAACATTAACTGATTTGATTTAGATATTAATGATATTGTTAGTAAAATTATAATATTAGTATAGCATCATTAACATTTCCAAGTAATAAAACATTTAAATTGTATAATAATTAATTAAATTAATAATATTATTTTAAATTAATAAATAAAGTAATTATTTTCACTAATATTTTTAATTTTCAATAAAATATTATCATTAATATTTTTCAAATGATAAAAAAATTGAATATATGCACAATGCACAGGTATATGACTAGTTAACATTAATATTATGAATAACATTAAATATTCTTCAATTTTTTTCAATAATTAACTAAATAATTTATTAATATTATTTTAAATAGTAAAAATTTTCTATTTCTTTTTTATAATTTAATAATATTAAATATTCTTCGGTTGTTTCATCCTTCATAGTCTTACATGTAGTATAACATTAAATTGCTGACAGATACTTCATCTGTCCTAAAAATATAGTTCACTTCCCTTTTTTTGCATGATAGTTAATCTTTAAATTGTTTATTATACCCTTATTAAATTTTATCTTATTTTCAATAACCTCTCATTAATTCTTACTTATTATTCTAATATAATAAACACTCATGTGTTATTTAAGATGTATAGAATAGGAAAGTTATATAAATAAAATTATCTTTTAACTATAATAATTCCTACTTTCTTAATCTGTATGAAAATAGAAAGTGAACTATCTTTTTGAAACGGATGAAGTATCTATGTGAAAAAACAATCCACTTTTTATTTTCACACATATTAAGAAAATAGCAATTATAATAGTTAAATGACAATTTTATTTGTATAACTTTCTCATTACATCCATTTTAAATAACATATGAGCAATTATTATAATATTTTAAATAACATATGAGCAATTATTATAATAGAATAATAGTAAAAATTAATGAGGGGTTATTAAAAATAAAATAAAATTTAATAAGAGTATAATAGATAATTTAAGGGTTAACTATAATGCATAAGAGGAAGTGGATTATATTTTGAGACCAACTAAAAAGAAAAGGTCAACTATCTTTTTGGGATGGAGGAAGTAACATTTTTCAGTCTCTTTTTTGTAATTTAATAATATTAAATATTATTCGGTTTTTTTTTCAAAAAATTAATTAAATAATTAGTAATATCATTCATACTATTTTGAATAATAAAAAGTTCGGTTTCTTTATTTAGATAATTAATAAAATTAATAATATTATTTAATAATACTATAATTAATAAAATTTTCAAAATCATTTTTTTATAATATTAGAAATTTGTACAGTGAATATGAGCAAAAAATAACATTAAAAAAATTTTAAACCTAAAAATTTTCATGAGGTTATTATTTGAAATTAATAGTTTCTTCATTAATGCAATAAATTTATTATTTGAAATTAATTATTGAAAAAAACAAAGAGTCCTTCCATTAATATAAAAAGCTTATTATAGGTTATTATTAATTACTGAATTCAATTACTAGTAATATATACAGGCAATTAAAATTTGTATCTCAAGGCTTTGAAATTTAATGAAAATAAATAGTAAATTCATGTCATTTGAATTATAAAAATAATAATAAAATTGCACATTCCAGGTGCCTCACATGAACGTGACTAGTTTAAAATAAAAATAATAAAGAGTAATTATGTTTTTTTGATGAAAATAAATAAGTATCATTCATTGATACAAAGTAAATAGGATACGAAATCCTAGTATCAAATTACTCCCTTCCCTCCATCTATTTCTATTTACTGTTTTTAGAAATTTTGTTTAAAATCATATGATGTTTATGAATTTTATCAATGTGTTCAGGAGCAGTTTTTCTAAGCAGCTCAAAACTAAAAGCTACTTAAAAAATTATTCGGTAACATAGCATTTGGACTAGTTTTTAGAAGTTAGAATAGCATTTTGTGAAAAATTAACTCATGTAATGTTTAACTTTTAGCGTTTATGAAAAGTTACTTAAACGACTAACAGCTACTGAGATAGCTAACGACTGCTAAAATAACTAATTTTATCAATAAAAAATTATACTAAAATAGCTAATACCGATACAGCTAATAATACTGTATTTGTTGATAAAAAATTATTAAATAAAAATCAAATATTATTTTTTTTTAAAAAAAAGAAACACTTTAAACGGATGAAAAAAGAAAAAAGAATAAAAATTATGGGATAGAGCGATCAAATAAATAAACTGATTTTGAGTTTTGGACTAGTACAAGTCTGTTTGTTTTCAATGTCAAATAACGAACTTAATTTAATTAAAACATAAATTTAATTTGACTTTTAATTTATTCAAATCCAAATTTAAAAAATATTTGCAATCTTTTTATATTAATAAAATTTTAATATATTACAATCTCTTTGTAATTAAAATTTTTTACTTTTTTAATTTATTAGATTAATAGAATTTTTTTTTCCTTTCAATTTTCTATCAATTTATTTAGTTATTAAAGTTTATGTAGTCTAAAATTATAATTTGTTTGTAATTGATTTTAATTTATATTTTTTTTTTACAAAGTTGATGAAAATTTTCTTCGTTGTAAAAGCAGTTTAACAATTATTTAAAACAAATTTTATTAACCTTTTTTTAATTTTCGTTAAACCTTTTTTGTCTAAAAGAAATTCGTAGAATACTAAAATCAAATTCTTATTATTATTATTATTATTATGGAAAAGATGGGAAATTACACGTAACGTTGGAACGTGCACAACCAACCAAGGATTGAAGGATCATTTTAGGTTCAAGTTTTGGAGATGCAAGAGTCGATTCACCAAACTAGTCATACTTATGTAAAAATTTTAAATGATAAAGAAAAATAGGTGGGAGACTATTGAAGAGTTAGGCCCTGTTCAGCGGTCTTAGTCATTCTAATAGCTGTCATCGCTGCTGTTAGTTGTTTTATTAGTGATTAGTTGTTAGATATTAGAGTTAGTGGTTAGCTGTTTATATAGCCGTTAGAATAAAAGCGTTCGATAAAAATAAAAGTGTTCGGTAAAAATAACTGTTTGATAGTTATTTAATATAAAACGACACAATGTATGAATACGAGGAACAATGTAAAGACAAATGATGAGTATGAGTGCCATGAAAAATTTATAAAACATTAAATGTTAATAATGTTCACGAAACATTACTTAAAACACTGCCGTTGAACATGGCCATAAGTTTTGATCATTGACAGGTCCAATAGCTTAGAATAATATTAAAATTTTTTTATGAGTATTAGGAGAGAGAATTCGAACCTATATCTATTGTCAGGTTGTATTTGTACTTACTAGGAATGTGTATAGGGCTGTGGGAATCCCAATCTGTTCCCAAAAATTGTCCCGGGAAAATTCAATATTAACTTAATAGTCTCGTCCCAAATCCCATCCCAAAAATAATTATGAGACAAGATTGGATCTTTGATTAAAACCAATTCGAACCAACAAAGTTCTGTTATACACTGTCTTGTCCCGAAAAAATCAGTACTTCTTGTCCCATTTTTCCTTTAAAATTCTAGTTATTGTTTTTTTTTTTTATGAATTTCAAAATTATGTTCGTAAAAATCATTTCATCCTTTTAATTTTAGTTTTTTTATGATAAAAATTACTCCTAAAGTAATAATACGAAAAAAAAATATACATTTTTTAAAATATAAAATAAATCAAGTAATTAAATATATTTTTTAATATAGGTGTTTTCTCTATTATTCCATAGTATGTTATAAGAAAGTTTATTTGAATAAATTTTTTTTATTAGACAAAAAATGGAAAGATTAATCAAGACAAGAGGAAATATTAATTTCAATTAATATGATAACTGAATTATTAGTTATGCTTAATGCTATTATTATTTACTTTTTAGATAATATTCATCGTTATATTAAGTAAGTATCAAATTTAAATCAGTTTAAAGATAACAATAACAAAAATAATGATAAGTTAAAATTCATAAAATACATATAAAGTTAAATTGGATATAGTTTTTGTATTATTTTATTTTATTATATTTAATGCTTTTATTAACTAGAAAATAACTACTTAGAAATTTTCTATTATAACTTTAGTAGTATATCATCGACCATTGAATTAATTAATTGATTTATTCTTTTTTTTTTTTAACTCAAACTTATACAAATGAAACTTTTTTTTTATTGTAATTGATAAATACAGTAATTTTTTATTTTATTTGGTGAAAAAAAATTTAATAAGATTATGGAAAATTATGATTGATTCTCGTCCCGACACATTTCGTCTTGTCTCACAGACCCGAATTCCGCCCGTTCCATCCAAAAATTGAGACAGGATGAACCGAGACTACACATCTATTGGGACAAGATTGTGACTACATTTTTATATTCCGATATTTTGATTGGATTTAGAATTATGTAACTCTCTTTCCAACCCGACCATGCACATCCTTAATACTTACCACTAGACTATATCTCAATGTGCAAATAATATTTAGGTTATACTGGGTTAGTAAACAATCAATTACTCTGAAACCAAACAAAGATGAACCAAAAATTTTAAAAATGAAACCAAACCGAAATTGATATCAAAACCAAATTGATTCCAATGGAACAAATTTGGTTTAGTCGATTTGATCATTTTTAGCTTTATCGATTTGGTTTTAAGTCTAACGATTGGTTTTTGTCAAACCAACAAAGCCAGAGAAAATTTTGATTTAACCTTTTTAAATCGATAATCGATTTTTGTTATAAGCAAGTTACCGAATCAAACTAAATTGGATTGATGTCACTTTTAGTTAGATTTAGTTGGTTGTTTGGCACTTATGCTACATAATAGAAAGTAGACGTTCCTTTAACTCTATACATAACGAAAAATTCTTGTAGTCATAAGGGATTCGAACCCGAATCCCTTACTCATTACATTCTTATAAAAAAAAATTATGATTTCATATTTTCTATCTCCCTATTTCTTAGTATTATTTTATAACAAAGGATAATTAGATGACACCTGTTTATATTTATAGAATTAAAAAGTTGAGTTTGGTGAGTTGTTCCTCGGATGCATCATTTGCTACTTCCCATTATCCCATCTCTAAACAAGTTACCTGTCCTTGTCTGGATTGCCATATTGCACCGCGAGACCTGCCAACAAATTCCGTGCTACAATACCATTTCTTCAATTTTCAGCAACGTGGCACTTTATTGCCACATGCCCCCCACTCTTTCATTTGTTTCTTTTCCGTTTGCTAGCATGCATAAATAAATAATTAAAAAAAACAAATTAAAGATTTTATTAATAGAAAACTGTATATAAATATGAAATATAAATTGATTTATTTTTATATTTTGATATAGAAAGTCTAATAATAAATCACTTATATAAAAACTAAAAAACATAATATTGAATTGATTTGATGTATCCGATTGAATTGACTTAACATAATAATTGTATTATAGTGTGGCTATTCATGACCACCGTTGAACTCCATGGTCTTTTTACAAATCCAATTTGATCTTCAAGTTTCTTTCCAATAACAACAATAACTTAGAACTAGATCGGAGAATAAAATCTCAAAATATGAGTTACAATAAATCAAATATTTGGGCGATAATGGAAAGGGAACCATCGGTGAGAGCTCACCGCCGCCCTGGAAATTGAAAAGAGAGCTTTTAGATTTTAGATTTTGAAAAAAAGAGGAAATTGGGAGAAAGTTATCAAAATAAATAATTTAGAAATGAAAAAAATTGCATAAATTAATATTTTTATTTTATTTTTTTCCAACCATTAGACAATAAATTGATACCGGACAGTATAAGAAAAAAGTTTAGTTGCATCCTCAATTTATGCATTTTTACTCCTTTTCTCTCTTCATATTAATTTTTTTTTAGTATAAAGTATTTTTGATATTTTATAAAATTGGCATACAAAATATAAAATATTTCTAATTAAACCTTTAATCTTGATATTTATATAAATGAAAAAAAATTTAACGTAGCAATTAAAGATGGATCATAGCAATAGAAAAATTATGCATAATTCCATAATTCGATATGATTATGGTGGATGGTCGGCAATCAATGGTAGATTTTAGAGTATTTTTATTTTTACTATCTCATTGTCAAATTAAAATACTCAATTGTCAAATAAGTTTGATCAAGTTGGTTTTCTGATAGATTTCGAGTAGGAGTCTTCTAAGTTATAAGAGTTTTGTAACCTCCGGTATTAATTTTTCTTTTAATTAATTTTGATTACGAAATTATTAAATGCTAAAAAGTGAAAAAAAGAAAAAATAAAAAAGAAAATGTAACAAATAACAGCACAACATCGCGTGCCAAGGAGCAATGTTCCATTAATAAAGGAAGATCGAAAAGCACGTCCTCAAATAAACATTTACGGCACACAAGCATGAATCTCGCTGCCTTTACTGTAACCAAAAAAAAAAAAAAAAAAAAAAAAAAAAAAAATAAAAGCAGCAAAAACGCGCTTTTATTTTTTTTTAAAACATTTTTGGTTAATTAATTGCATGTATTCAAAGGAAAGAATAAATAGATGGTTACTGTTTCATTGCTGTTTTGTTTGCGACTTTGCTTGTAAGAACAAGAAGAAGAAACAGTGTTTGAGATTTTCTTTCTTCTGTTTTGTCTCAGCCCCGTTGCAGGTATTATTATATTATTATTATATAAATATTTAAATTATCATTGTATGAGAAAACAAGAGAAGCTAAAATGGTGTTACTGTGGGCTGTTTGTCGTTTTCTAAGATTAAACCTAGTTTGTTTTACACTTGCCTTACTGTTAGCCAGTAAAAAAAAGAAACACAGCTATGGACGCTTCTTCAAGATTTTGCAAGAAACGCGTTTTTCTTTTTCGGCTTTATGGTCTAAGAATTTGATTGGACAGATGGAGTGTTTTTCTGATTTAGATAACCAAAAGTCTCTTTTCCATTTGAAAAAAGAGTTGAAATCTATCTGAGTTGGAAAATTTTAATGGTGGAAAAAAATTGGAGTTGAAGATAGTGAAATCTGAAGTCTAACGGTGCCATCTCTCCTGCGACAGTAATACAATGACTAGTCCATTCAAAGGATCGCCGTACGAACGGCGATATGATCTAGAGGCTGGAGGAAGCCGGTCCACTGAAGACGACTCCTCTGGTCCGTTTGATATCTTTAGCACTAAAAACGCCTCTATTGAACGTCTTCGCCGCTGGAGGGTATGTAATCTTTCCCCTCTCTCTCTCTCTCTCTCTATATAGATTAGATAATATTTTCTATTTTTGACTATTATTGTGTTTTTGGTGAATGGATTGGTTATGGATGGAGCTAATAGGTCTAATTAGAGAAGGTGTTTTGCTTAATTTGGTGTTTTTTGGAGTTAATTACCATACATGCTGGACAAATCAATAGAGCTTATACTACCAGAAGACATTTCTTTCTTCCTTTTTTTTGTCTTTTCAAATTGATGTGTTTTAGTTTTTTATTAATGAACTATGTCAACACGGTTCTATGAATCTGAGGAACATCACGTCACAAGTTTGATACTATATGTTATTGTTAACTTTGGTGTTCTTTGAATGTTGCTGCTATACTTTTTTGTGCTAATTGGAATATGTTTCTTTCTAGCAAGCTGCACTTGTACTTAATGCTTCTCGTCGATTTCGATATACCTTGGATTTGAAAAAAGAAGAAGAGAAGCAGCAAATATTGAGAAAGATAAGAGCACATGCACAAGTCATACGAGTACGTAGCTCTCAAACTTGAATGTCAATGTTTTACATAGGCTTATGTTTTAATTTATGGTTTCTGCTGCATCAGGCTGCATATCGTTTTAGAGCAGCTGGGGACCTACTAGTAAATGGTATCTTTCTTTCTCCTGTGCTTGTTTCATTGTGTTATCATTATAGAATAGATTGTTGAAAAAGTGTGATTCGATCTTTATTTCGCCTATTTCATTTTTTCTATGTGTCATTTGTCACTTTGTGATGAGGTTTGGCAAATGTCATCAATTTATTAGAACATGTATTATGTAGTCACCTTATGTTTAAATTGTTTTTCCCTCTGTTTCCAGAGTATCATTTCTTTATGATTTCTGTAATGTAGGGTTATGCATTTTGAAATATGTTAGGATTTAGCTTTTCCATTTATAGCTGGTCTATTCTTTACTTTTTTTTTTTTCTTTTCAAAATTTAAAATTATCATTCCCTATATCAATATTGGCTGTATAAAATTCAGCTTTTTATTCTGGTTTGACCATTTATCATTTGCTGTTTTCTGGAGAAGGAAAAAAAAAAAAAAAAACAAAGAAAAACCTTACTTCGATGATTCTGATTATAAACATTTTGTTTTAGTTCAATTTTCCCACCTGCTTTTTTCCCCTATCATTCTGCTGCTGGACTTAATAATTCATGCTGGGTCTATGAATTTCAACTAATTTGTATTTTGTCTGGCAGGAAGTGGAACCACAGAATCGCTTCCAACCCCTAAAGGTGATTTTGGAATTGAACAAGACCGACTTTCGACACTCACAAGGGATCATAAGCTTGATGAACTAGAGCGAATTGGGGGGGTAAAGTGCACCTTATATTTCTCTTGATTGATGCGTGCACTGTTTTAGGTAGGTTTATTTACATTTGTTTTCCTTGTTGCATATTTTGCATCAGGTAAAAGGGCTTTCTGATCTCTTAAAAACAAATACAGAGAAGGGAATCCATGGAGATGATGCTGATTTACTGAAGCGCAAGAATGCTTTTGGATCGAACACATATCCTCAGAAAAAAGGAAGGAGTTTCTGGGTAATTGCTGTTAATATTTTATAACTTGTCTGCATTTTTTTTTTTTTTTTTAATATTCACTAAGTTCAGTTTTTTTTTGCTTTATTTTTATAGATGTTCCTTTGGGAAGCATGGCAAGATCTTACATTGATCATACTGATGGTGGCTGCTGTGGCTTCTTTGGCACTGGGGATAAAGACAGAGGTTAGTTTTCTCACAATTTTGCTAATTGTGTCACCATTTTATGAGTGTCCATTGCAAAATTATGTTTGATTGAAGGGTCAAAAATTTGGTTTGATTTTGAGAATGTGGAGCTTGTAGAGCAACATTCCCTTGTTGGCTAGTTCTTAGAAATGAGAAGAGGGAGTGAATAATCTACCGTGTTATTCACAAAGCATTTCTTTGTTTGTTTTATACAAATGTCCCCTGTTATTGAACTATAAGAAAAAAATAACCAGTAAACTTTACGATCGTTTCAATTTCAAAGAAATGATTGTTATATGTATTTAAGAATAAAGTTTAATAATGCTATTATTATTAATGATAAAAAAATAGTCCAGCATATGTTTTGTTAACAATGATGTAATATTTTTTTTAGTTAATTATAATGTCTATTAGGGTTTTCATAATCCAATTTAATGATAATAGTGGGTAGTATTTGCAAAGCATTCAGAGTCATGGGAATGTATCTTTCCGATCCCTAAGGATGGAATAACTTTCCCATTCACGTGGGAATGTGATGGTAGGATACATAGGAATGTCGCATTCTTGTGCAAGCCGAACATAACATAGTTTCCAGTTCATTTTCCTTAGGTGATTCTGGCAACCAAATGCACTTCAAAGGGAATTTAAATCTAGAAAATGCTTCTAGGCTCCCATGATTAATGGGGATATCCTCTGCTAATTTTCCATCTTTCAGTTAGTAATGGAATTAGACTTTCTGAAATTAGTTGCTTTGGTGGCTTGGTTGGGCAGTTTAGTTATGAGCATTTAATGTAGTCAGAGGGTGGAGGGATCTTGTAAAAGAAGGTGACTTTAAAGATTTCTGTCTGAAATATTGGCTTTTAATTCTTTCTAGTAACATACATGTTTTGAACAGGGTTATTGAAGATCGTTAAGGTTCCTAACTTAATGAGAAAGTGCATAAACTTACATTGCTAGGTGTTTGAAGTGAGTTGGTAGAGTATGTGATTTATAATATTATATCATCATAAAGAGCAGGATTTTGTCTTGTTGAATGGTTAGTATAAATTGCTCTCTGTGCGTGCACATCTCCTAGCTGTATTTAACGTGAAGAGTTGTGAACTGATAATTTAACTAGTGCACCGTTTGATTTAAACATGTGAATTATTACTTGTTGGGAAGTTATTTCCCAAAGAGTTGTAATTTTTTATTGTTTGGTTCACATACATTTTACTTTTTGGATTTTTTTAAGATGGCGTTCCCAACTATGTTAACATAAATGTAAGGTAATAAATCCAAACCAATTTGGTAATATTCTTTTATTTCCAGTAAGTAAGTTTATCCTATTGACACTGCTCAGTAAGTTACTTTCTTAAAATCATTGAAGTTGATTGTTTAAAAGGGAAGACTTCGTTCTTGCAACCAAATATGATAGTTTAGTGTATTTTTGAGGAAGTTGAACTTCCTGATCCCACTTTCTACTAGTGTTTATAATGCCCTAGTGTTTTAGTACCATAGTTTTCAAACTTTATAATTTTGCCATCAATTGCAAGTATTTGCAAGAACATCTGCACTTCCTCTTTTTCTTTTGTCTTTCTGTTAAATAATAGTTGGTCTTCATTGTTGTTCCCCTTTTCATGGCCTTTATGCAATATTATTAATTTATATATATTACTTTTCTTGTTTAAATGCCTTCTACTACATTTTCTCTTGTATGATGTTAAGAGGGATTGTCCCATTCTCTCACGATTTACATGATCTAATAAATTCACATTTGCTTATGTTTTTGGTTATGTCCTTTACAACATTTTTTCTCTTGTAGGGTATCAAGGAGGGATGGTATGATGGCGCAAGCATTGCTTTTGCTGTTATTCTTGTCATCGTTGTGACTGGTATGGGAATCCAAGTGCAATGTTTTATTGCATTGGCAAATCTTTTTGACAATTATATATTAGATTTCTTCATAAGTTGTTACAAACTGGCAAATGGATTAGAGAGGAATTATAATGTCACACATTGCAGTTTTTCTTTATCTTTTTGCAAGTAGAAGATGTTATTGGTCTTTTATGTATGAGCCAAATGAAAATTTAGGAGTTAGATGTATATCTTTATCTATTTTGGTGGTTCTCATATTAATATATTTGAGTGTAGGTTTTCTTTCTTCCTACAATTAATATCTGGGATAATAATAATAATGATAAAACAAATACTATGATTTGTTAGTTAGAATCATTTGAGAGAGTAATTTTCTTTGATAGTGGATTTTGTTGGGTAGAGGATCTCTGCTGAACCACCTTAGTGGGTTCTCTTATTTTGTTTTCCTACTTAAGCGTGAACAAATGTTATTGATGTCTCTAGATGTGAGCTCCTATTTTACCACCCATGGTTCTCCATGTCTGTTTGAAATTTCAGTTTTAGGCTGTGTATGGTCCTACATAAGTCTGTATAAATGAAGACATCTGTTAGGAACTCCAAAGATATGGAATCTTGTACCTTTTTTTGCTCCTTTTAATTGTTTAGATATCTAAAATAGCTCTCTTCAAATCTTATCATATTGCAATTGTATTGCATCTTGTATTGCATTTGTTTGGAAGGGAAAAATTAGGAGGAGAGGAAAGGGCAATAATAACAATAATATAGTTCTTGTGTAGAAGATAACATCCAGCTTTAAGCAGCAAAAAGAACCAATAATAACTTACTTGATGTCATTCTTGTGTAGAAGATAACATCCTTTGTTTTCTTTGTTTTTCTGTCTTCAGCTGTAAGTGATTACAGACAATCCCTTCAGTTCCAAAATTTGAATGAGGAGAAGAGAAACATACACATGGAGGTATATTTCTAACACGGCAAATAGTGGTTTTCGACTTGGATTTTGTCTTTTTTGAATATTATATATGAAAAAAATATTTGTTTTAGGTTATTAGAGGTGGTAAAAGAGTTGATGTTTCAATATATGACATTGTTGTTGGAGATGTTGTTCCTCTCAACATTGGTGACCAGGTAATCACATAAGCTATCCTTTTGTTGCAGTATATTTCATTCAGTTTTTATGCATAATTAATTGACATTATAAATACATCTTTAGGTACCTGCTGATGGAATTTTAATTACTGGTCACTCTCTTGCCATTGATGAATCTAGCATGACCGGAGAAAGCAAGATTGTAAGCCTTTCAATCGACCCTTTAGTGTTAAGACATTGCTCAAAGGACCTCTCTCACCAAGTCTGACTACTTATTATTCCACAGGTTCACAAGAATTCCAAGGCACCATTTCTAATGTCTGGCTGCAAAGTGGCGGATGGTAGTGGCACTATGCTGGTAAGTTCATTTTGTTTCTATCTCTGCCAGACATAATATTTTATGCTCATTTTCAGGAGTCTTTTTGCATGTCCTTTTTGTTATCGATTTTGGGCTAGACATAGTCAGAGAACGTTAAAAGAATTAATAGATTTTTCTCACTTCAATCCTTACACATCTTTCATATGTCTTTTGTTCATCCTGATACTTTTTTTGACTTAGAGGTTGCTGAAGGAGTTTCTTTCTAATAGTTATGATTTCGCTTTTCTCATGATATGGAATATCCTCTTATTTTTGAATAAAAGGGACAATATTGACTGGAGAGCTTTATTTTTAAGCAATGCCCTTTGATATCAATAGAATGTGTACAAAGATAGGATCAAAAGGTTTGCTTCTAGATATGTAAAATAGGAACTCCTCTCTTGTAAATTATGCCCTTGGCTTTTTGCTGAGTTATTCAGATGATTTTAAGAGGCTAACTCGAATAGTTTCCATAAACTGACAAAATTAAACTATCATGCCATCTTGTACCTCAGTTATTTTCTTTCCAAGGGTTCAATCTGCTAGTTCCGAGTTATTCATGTTTAGTAGATTCTCTTATTTGTTTTCTGGGATAATTGAGCATGCAGTTATGTGTTTTCTGAAAACATTTACTGGCCTAAGGGAGAAGTATAAAAAAGAGACTGCAACATCTGAAGTTGGAAAATTTTTGAGTTTCAATAAAGAGATACTGTATTTGGTTTACATGGAGGAAAGCATCTGATTTGGATGCATTTTCACAAAATTTAATATTCTTTCATGATATTTTATTCTTGAATGTGTATATTTGTCTCGTTTTTCATATTATCAGCTTATGTCTTATTCTTCTGTCCCCCTTACTTAACCCCCTTAAAAGAGTTCTTCTTGGGTTAAATTTACTATTTGCTTCACAAGAATTTCACTGTCGTTCTAGTGTTGTGATAGGAACCTTTACTGATATATAAAACTGGGAATAAGATGGTGCAGATATTTATCATGATAATGTTATAATGTATTTTTGTCTTCATTTCCAATGATTATTTGATCTTATAGTTGCAGCGCTCACCTCTGCCTTTCCTGGCATCATCTTATTTTGTGATTTTCCTAAAAACATAGAAGTGGTGCTTTTACCCTTTTGGGCTGCGTCGCAACTTTTTCTTTTTCTTTTTCTTTTTTTTTTTTTCTTTTTTGATTAGAGGAAATCCATTTTTCAGTCAAAACACATTAAAGTAAATTTTCTTCTTTCCCAATCAAATATAAACCAAAAGGTGTAGGTCTCAACTTGTCTTTATGCTTATATAATTTTCCTTGTTTAGGTGACAAGTGTTGGGCTTAACACTGAATGGGGGTTGCTTATGGCTAGTATTTCTGAAGACACTGGTGAAGAAACACCGTTGCAGGTTTGTTTTTTGATTATTGGTTTTAGTTATAATTAGTGTTCACAGGTTGTGCTTATTTTTGAATGATTGCTGGTAGGTGCGCTTAAATGGAGTTGCCACTTTTATTGGTGTTGTTGGGCTGGCGGTAGCTCTTATTGTCTTTATTGTTCTTCTAGTTAGGTAACCAAATTCTCTCTCTCTCTCTCTCTCGCTCTCCCCACCCCCCTTTTCTGATTTGTATGCGTTTCAGTGTCTATGTAAGTCTTTTGTCTTTCTAATATTGTTTTCCTACAGATTCTTTACTGGCCACTCCAAGAATCCAAATGGAAGTCGTCAGTTTACAGCGGGTAAAACTAGTATTGGTGATGCAGTAGATGGAGTCATTAAAATTCTTACTGTTGCGGTATGTGCACTTCTAATAAAATGCTCTCCCTTAGCTGTTATCTATGAGCAATTTTTGATCAACTAATTTGGAATTATATAGGTCACCATTGTAGTTGTTGCTGTGCCTGAAGGGCTCCCATTAGCTGTTACCTTAACGTAAGTTTCTGTACATGGAAATTATCTCTATATCTTATGTTCATAACAATCAGTTGCAATCCATGCTTCTCTTCTATTATTGCTTGTAATGGTGTGGGTTAGTGGTTTTGTTAGCAGTTAGCAGATAAATGTCCAACTTTCTCTTTGTGGCAGATCATGCTATCTGACTTCTGGATTTGCAGTTTTCATTATGATATTTTCACTAGTTTCTTTGCTCTTATGCTTTTTTTTTTTTTTTTTTTTTTTTTTTTTTTTTTTTCATAAACAATCAGTTTGCATCCATGCCTTCCTCTTTCATTATTGCTTGGTAATCGGTGTGGGTTTAGTGGTTTTTTGTTAGCAGTTAGCAGGATTAAATGTCCAACTTTCTCTTTTGTGGCCAGATCATGCTATCTGAACTTTTGGATTTTGCAGTTTTCATAAATTGCATAATTTTTCACTAGTTCTTTGCGCTCTTATGCTTTTTTTTTTTTTTTTTTTTTTTTTTTTTTTTTTTAAATTTTTTTTTTTTTTTTTTTTTTTTTTTTTTTTTTAAATTTTCTTTATGACAGTCTTGCCTACTCTATGAGAAAAATGATGGCAGACAAGGCCTTGGTACGTTTTATTTTATTTAGTTGTTAGTGCTTTTGCTAACATTTAGGATCTGTGCTTTAATAGAGGTTGAATTGCAGGTGCGTAGGCTTTCTGCCTGTGAAACCATGGGTTCTGCTACAACTATTTGCAGTGACAAGACTGGAACTTTAACACTGAATCAGGTGAATTATAATGCAGTTTTTGGTATTCATCTGAAGTTCAAAATTCTATATTATAAAAGTAGATGCAAATATGGGGGATATGGCTGGGTGATCTGCTCTATGTATACATGTACTTTTTTATACTTGAGTTCCTTCCCCTTTTCTTCTTGGATTTCCATAGAGCCATATCACTGGACAAGTGACGGGGATCCAACGATAAAATTTCAGTTTAACTTTTTGTGCCTTTTAATGTTGGGTGGTTATGTCTTGGAAGAAAATGCTCCAGATGCATGTTTGATTTATTGTGACGAAAAGTCATTCTATTTTTTCCCATCTGTTTGAACAAGCAGCAGGTTTTTTTATTTACAGATGACTGTTGTTGAAGCTTATGTTGGTGGTAAAAAAATTGATTCTCCGGAAAGCAAGTCAGAGTTGTCTCCTAAACTCTCCTCTTTACTTATTGAAGGCATTGCGCAGAACACAAACGGCAGTGTTTTTATTCCTGAGGTAGGAATGTCTAGTTGTATGAGCAAAGTAAACAAGTAGAGTGCTGCTGCTAATATAACATTGTTGACATCATGATTTGTTGCATTGCTCTCTCGCAGAATGGAGGAGACCTAGAAGTTTCTGGATCACCCACAGAAAAAGCTATTCTTGTTTGGGGAGTGAAGGTTTCTTTTTATAACTTCACCTTGTTTGTCACTTAGGTGAATTTGATTTCTTAAACTGATTATGCTTGTTGGTCCCTTGTTCAATAGCTGGGGATGAATTTTGATGCTGTCCGATCAGAATCGGCTATCATTCATGTTTTCCCTTTCAACTCGCAGAAAAAAAGAGGTGGTGTGGCAGTACAACGGGTAAGGTTACTTGATTTTTACGAAGTAATTTTTGTAAGAGAGAATAATATATGTTAACTGGGGTAACATTCTTAGGAAGTTGTTTTTGTTTGCAATTCCTGCGACTCCTTTTTGGTACTTACAAACATCCTAAGAATTTTAAAATCCAGTCGTCACATCTGATAATAAGAAGAGTATGCACCATATCAAAATAACTAGAATATTTATAGTTAGGGGTGTGTATTCAGCTGGTTCAGTCTCTGGTTCACAATTCTACAAACCAAAATAACCTGAATTTATTTTATCTTTGAACAATTGAACCAAAATTCTATAAATGACACAAAAAAAAAAAAAAAAAAAATTCAACAAATTCTATAAATGACACAAAAAAAAAAAAAAAAAAAAAATTAAAAAAAAAAAAAAAAAAAAAATTCAACCAAACCATTTTATGAATTTCAGTTAGGTTGGTTACTCAGTTATCCAGCCATGTCCTTCATTGCTTACCTAAAATCTTTTGTAGATGCGAACAAATTCTTTGTAGTACATTAGACAAAAAGGGGGAAAAAAAAAAAAAAGAAGAGAGAAGAAACTGAGTCTAAAAGAACATCAAATCATCTAGTTGAAAAACCTTGATGACCCATGAAACCACCAATCCGAAATTGAATTCTTCATTACTTTGAAAAATACTTCTCTTGATCATAGTTTGATGAGAGCAGCCAAAACGTCTCCAATTGATATAAAAGGATATGAGTTGAGTAAGATGTGAATATGAGTGTAAAACGTCGAGAGCAGAAAGATAAAAAGAGAAATACACGGTTATATGGAGAAGGAAATGGCTTCTTAAAAAATTTGGAAGGTTAATGGCTTCTTGGAAAATGGTAAGGATATCCTGAAAGGTGGGTAGTTGAGATGAGAATTTAAATTCTTTCAAAAGCATATTTTATATTGGAAAGCCCTTTAACTTAAGCAGTTTGTTGATATAAGACCTTCAACTTAAGCAGTTTGTTTTTTAGTGTTTCTATGCTCGGGCTGTGTGTGGTGTTCAAGAAAAGCTCCTAAGAGTAGCAACTCTAGGTTTTCAACCTATATCCTTGTGGCTAAAGTTTGCTTCCGCTGATAGGACCGCCTGTTGGTTAATCAGATAAGATTTTTTTTTTTTTTTTTTTTTTTTTTTTTTTTTTTTTTTTTTTTTGAAGTTTAGAATTCAGAGAGCAAACCAAACGTTTTTTTTTTTTTTTTTTTTTTTTTTTTGAAGTTTAGAATTCAGAGAGCAAACCAAACGTAAAAATTGCTTAAAATCTAAAATTGATCCCAACTGAAAATTAAAATAACTGAATTGGATAAGACCGTATAATATCTGTTAAATTTAACCCAATAATGCTGACTCTGGGTCATAGTGTATTTTTTTATTAGCTAATTTCATATTTGGCTCATTTTGCATTGTCTGATGCACATAGTCTCCAACACAATTGAGATAATTGGTTCCAAAACCATGTTTACTGTTTAGGCAATCTTTTTAACTTTGTCTGTTCCTGAATTAATGTATAATATTTTTTGTAATATTCAGACTGCGTTTTGAAAAATGAAATTTTCTGGTCATAGAGATTGAGAAAAGTAATAGTTGCCAAAGGCTGGGATAAGGTGTTGGGTCAGGGTCCGATGGGCATCAAATATTCTACTTTTTCCCGATACTCGGGTTCAAATACTCATGGATCTGCTTTTTGCTTACTGGCTTCATATAATTCCGAAAACACTAGTTTTCTCGAAGCCTTTTGTTCATATCTCTCATAAAAGAGTGCTATTCCCCAAGGGTTATTTCTTCTTTGATCGATTCCTTCAGTGGCTGGGAGAAGGTGTTGGGTTCAGGGTCAAATGGGTCTGTCATTAACTTCTCCATTGACTGGGTTGTTTTCTTCTATGTTATCTTTGTTGTGCTGGTTAGGAAGCGTTTGAAAAGTAAAAAATGAAGCTAGTTTTCTTAATTTTTCCCCCTGGGAAATACAATATTGATTTAGAAAGAAATAATTTTACAAGACTGTATCATGCTCTCTTTCTCCGTTTTTAAATGAAGTTACTGCATATGAAATATTCAGTTTGCATTGAGATATAGATATAAGGCATTGTCAAGCGAAAATTGGTCGACTACTAGTACACAGTTTATCTATCACACTAGAAATATTGGAATATAAAAGTAGTTGTACAAAATATTTCTACAGTTGCTTTTGTGGTGACTTCTTGATTCTAAAATCGTGTTGTACTTCACAGCCTGATTCTGAAGTGCATATTCACTGGAAGGGTGCTGCTGAAATAGTCTTAGCTTCATGTACAGCTTACATTGATGGAAATGATCAGATCGTACCACTAACTGATGAAAAGGTTGGCCTAAATGTTATTTTCTCCTCTGCTTAGAATTTTAGGCAAATTTCTGATCATGTTTTTTCTTTTTTTTTTTTTTTTTTTTTTTTTTTTTTTATATATCCTGCAAAGATGGGTGTCTATTGTTGTTTGTGTCTTGCTTGATATTGTTAGAGGATTCCTGGTAGTGAAAAGAGCTATTATTTGCAGTCTTTATTTTTCAAGAAAGCTATTGAAGACATGGCAGCTGGCAGTTTGCGCTGTATTGCAATTGCATATCGATCTTATGAGATGGATAAAGTTCCTACCAATGAAGAAGCTCTGTCTCAATGGGAATTACCTGAGGATGACCTTATTTTGCTAGCTATTATTGGCTTAAAGGTATTTATTCTTGCTGGAACAACAGGGCAGCTCTCGAATACAATATTTTATATTTTGAAGTTTGCCTTGCTTTTTCTATTTTATTTTTGTTTGAAATTTGGCCACTACTGGATTTCTTTTTATTTTGACATTACTATTGGATAAACATAGAATAAAATGCCTTGTGAGATGCTTAAGTGGCTGCCATATGGTCATGCGGACATGTTATCTTCCTTTTTTTTTTTTTTTTTTTTTTTTTTTTTTTTTTTTTTTTTTTTTTTTTTTTTTTTTTTTTTTTGTGTATTCTTACAATAACTAGATTGTCATTTGCTTTGTACTAGATATTAATGATAACTAACACACAAATTATATAATTATAATTAATGTTAATTTGTAGAAAATGGATTTCTTTAAATTTTAAATTCACCATTGCATTATCATAGAACCAGCTGCTCTATGAGATGCTGAAATGGTGTTGCTTGGTCATGTTATCCTCCTCTTTTGCCTTTTTGGTATCTGAACTTGTGGCTATAATACATGCAGGACCCATGTCGACCAGGTGTAAAAGAAGCTGTGGAACTATGCCAAAATGCTGGTGTGACGGTAAAGTCTGTGATGCCAAAGTGATATGTTCAAAGCATGTACTCTGAGATAATATTTTCTCAGTTTATTCTTTGCTGTCCAATTATTGCTCATTGTCTAGTCCCTCTCTGTGTTTTTTTTTTTTTTTTTTTTTTTTTTTTTTTTTTTCAGTTTATTCTCATTGCTGTTCCAATTTATTGCTCATTGTCTCGTCACCTCTCTGTGTTTTTTTTTTTTTTTTTTTTTTTTTTTTTTTCTTTTTTTATGTTTTGAGCTGCATATGTTTTGGGCAAGCTCTAACTTTAACTGTTGTTTGAAAATACACCAACTCTGTGCATTGCTGGTTTGAAGTTATGTGTTTAGTGCCTATCTCTTTACCCCTTTGAATTTTGCTTTTTTTTTTTTTTTTTTTTTTTTTTTTTTTTTTATGGTTTTTGAGCTGCATATGTTTTGGCAAGCTAACTAACTGTTGTGAAAATACACCAACTCGTGCATGCTGGTGTAGTTATGTGTTTAGTGCTATCTCTTTACCCATTTGAATTTTTGCTGTGTTGATACAAATAATCTTTGCCGTGTTGTTTTGTTTGGCATGTTATTTAGCATGTTGCCTTGGATACCTGCTTCCTTTGTTGATTATGGTGACCTATCACAATTTACTTTGGTATCACCATATAATCCCATATTAAAAGTATTTGTGCTGTGTAATGTAATTTATTGGGTTTTCTGGAAATGCAATGCATAATAGTGTAAAATCTTATAGGGGCCAATAGGCCAAATAGCTTGATGGTCAGATACCTCCGTTGTTTGTGCAGGCTTAGGGGGCTCAAACATCTAGCCCTCAAACTTAAAAAAATTGAAAACAAATTATTAGTATGGATGTAACCGCTGCTACATATGTTCTGTCGTATTCTGGAATGTAGTAAATTTTTGTTTTTATTTACGGGAACTTGCACTGTAAGTAGATTTGATTTCCAAGAATAAGTTTGTGCTCTCTCTTCCATTTTTTGTATATTGCTGCAATCAAGAAGCTATCGACAATTTGGAACCTTTCTATCATATTATATCTTGATGATCATCAGGGTTGTGCAATGATCAGAAGAGAAGGATTGTACAATAATACAACTTTTGTTGATCATTCTGATATAATATGGTATGATTTGGCAGTGCAACTATTATATCTTGAAGCGAAAAATCAGACCTCTTCATAATTTGTCTTTTACAAATTGTTTTTGCACCATTGTTTTTGTAAATTTCTTTCTTTTTATTTATTTATCTATTGTTTCAGACTCCGACAACATAGCTATATCTGAAAAAATTTGAATGATAAAGAAAAAAATTTTGTTTGATTTCATTTGAACTTGCATCTCCTGTATTGATGCTGTGTTTTTATGATGCTTGTTCCTGTCTCAAATGGTTATCTCAATATCCCGAACTTTATTGATACTGAATATAATTAATTTAAAGTAATCTTCTTTTTCATTTTGTTTTTATAGGTGCGTATGGTCACTGGCGATAATCTTCAAACTGCAAGAGCAATTGCTTTAGAATGTGGGATATTACGTTCAAATGAGGCAATGGAGCCTATTGTTATCGAAGGAAAAGTTTTTCGAGGCTTATCAGACACAGAAAGGGAGGAAAGAGCTGAGCAGATATTGGTGTGGAGAGTCTACGTTTGAAATTCTTTTTCAAATTTCCTAATCTTTGCATGTCACAATGTCCTAATATTTGTTGTTATCCATGGTGGTAAATTTGTTAATTTTTCACTTCCACAATATATTGGGTAGGTGATGGGACGATCTTCTCCAAATGACAAGCTTCTGTTCGTGCAAGCATTGAAAAAGAGGAGACATGTTGTTGCTGTAACTGGAGATGGTACAAATGATGCTCCTGCATTGCATGAGGTATGTTTTGCCCTGATCTTGAAATCCTTGAATTATTTCTGTGGATGATTGGTCAGGGAACCAGTATGAATTTAAAGCGATCTTGGCAGTCATGCAACAATTGTTTGGTTTATGATCACCTGATGTTATGAATATAGTTTGGTTTTGTTTCCTAATGAGTTTCAACTATGCTTACTAGTGTAGGATACTGATCTTCTTATGTTCTTGCTTTTTCTTCAATCATTTGCATGCATATGTTCATGCACGTGAAAGTGTTACTTTTATTTTATTTTATTTGTTTTCACTTTTGCCTTTGTCATCATTTAACGTTCAGGCGGATATTGGCCTTTCAATGGGTATTCAAGGAACTGAAGTTGCTAAGGAGAGCTCAGATATAATTATCCTGGATGATAATTTTGCTTCGGTTGTGAAGGTTAGTTACTTTAATTTGATTGTCTGTAGTATTTTTCTGAAAGATGCAAATATGGGGCAGGATTTGTATCCTGTCCTGTAATTACCTTTTTCAAATGTTGTATTGATGGAGGTCCCAGCCTTGGTATTCTGTATTCTATCATCATTATGCAAAACGGCCTAGTAGTATAATTGAAATCTCCTGCTTTATATTTGAGGCCAAAATTGCTCTTGAATGAATGTCTTTAATTTTTTTTTTTTTTTTGAATCAATGGAACTTTCAATAAAATATAATATTTATGTAGGTTGTGCGATGGGGTAGATCTGTATATGCGAATATTCAGAAATTCATCCAGTTTCAGCTTACGGTTAATGTTGCAGCTCTCATCATAAATGTTGTAGCTGCAGTTTCCTCTGGTGATGTCCCATTGAACGCTGTGCAGGTTTGTATGCTCTCATGCTTCAAAAAAAAAAAAAAAAAAAAAAAAGATCTGTATATGGGTAATATTCAGAAATTCATCACGTTTCAAGCTGATACCAGGTTAATGTTTGCAGCTCTCATCATAAATGTTGTAGCTGCCAGTTTTCCTCTTGGTGATGTCCCAAGTTGAACGGCTGTGCAGGTTTGTGTCATGCTCTCATGCTTTCAAAAACAAAACACAAAAAAAAAAAAAGGGTAAGATGGTCAAAAGGCACAACATAAAAAAAAAAAAAAAAAAAAAAAGGTAGATGGTCAAAGGCACAACTGAAGGAGGGAACGATGGTTGCCCTATATTATGCATGCTTGAGTTAATATTTCTCTTTTCTTGCTGTACAGCTTCTCTGGGTTAACCTTATCATGGATACTCTTGGAGCATTGGCATTGGCTACTGAGCCACCTACAGACCATCTAATGCATAGACCACCAGTTGGTCGCAGGTAAGATATGTTTTGGTGGCTGCTCCTTGTCAAGGAACTGAAATTGACCTGTAACTAGAATTGACAAAAATTTAGCTGATCCATGTTAAAACTGAGCTCCTTTGTGTAATCCTAGTAAAATGGTTGGTTGATGGTTGGTTTGACTATTGTGCACACCCTCATCAACCCACAGGGGATCCTCTCTGATGGTTGGAAATACATAATATTGGAGAATTAGGATCTTTTTTTTTAAAACGTCCATTGCTTGATATCAGTCCTTTTTTTTTTTTTAATTTAATTTCTCTTACAAATTTTTTAGTTGGTCTACTTTATCCCTGAGGTCGGGGTGTTACCTATAGAATGAGTTAAGATGATGTGCTTGTGTACTTGAATTTTTTAGGCCATTTTTTTAAGCATCCTGTTGGACTAGTATCTGCTTATGCCTAAGGTGGTGTTCTTTCTGTCCTTGTCATGCAAAAAACATACAAGGGATAATCAATGTTGCCTACATCTGCCTAGGGTGATAATTTTGGTTTAAGGAATATTCAAAAGATTGCTTCATCCTTGCTGATGTTTGATTTAATGTTCGAAATGAACAATTGCTTTCTCTGTATATTGTTTATTGATTTATACATATGGTTCAGATACTGTTTCTATTATCAAACCAACAAAATTAGGAAATTGTATTTTGTAATTTAGATGTTTATGTAAAAGGTGCTTATATTATATCTTTATTCAGGGAACCCCTGATAACAAATATCATGTGGAGGAACCTGCTGATACAGGTATATATTGTTTCATGTTCTGTTTTTTTCTGTCGTTTTACATATATGTTCACTGCTAATAGTTTCATTCAAAATCAGGCAGCATATCAGGTGAGTGTGTTACTTGTCCTTAATTTCCGAGGGAGGACTTTATTAGGTTTGAAGGATGACAACCTTGAGCATGCAAACAAAGTGAAGAATACCTTAATATTCAATGCCTTTGTGCTCTGTCAAGTGAGTCTCTTTCTCATTAGCATACATAAAGTTGCAATTTTTTAGTGTTTTTCTTTTCCTCTTTCAGCAGTCTTTCAAATGTGGATTATTTTGGAGCTTTTTGGTCTCTTTCCCTATATGAGCTTGGTAAAGTATGAAGGAGAGCTAATTGTTTACTTTGGAATGCAGATCTTCAATGAATTTAATGCCCGTAAACCAGATGAACTAAATGTTTTCCAAGGAATCACAAAAAACCGTCTTTTCATGGGCATAGTCGCTGTAACACTCGTGCTCCAGGTGGGACTACTAAATTCTTCATTTTTGTTTTTGTATCTTCTATAGCAGTTACAAAATTTCAAACATATAATAAAGGGTACTTAATTCTTTGTATCATATGATTACTTAAACTTTACAATTGGACTATGAAAAATATATATTTGCAAATTGAAATGTGACCAGACAAAACAGAGCGACAACCATAAAAATGAAACTAAGACCTAAGACATTTTAGTTTTGCATACCTAAAAAATTATTGGATTTACTACTATGCCAAAACTTTATTATTGGTTACAGTTAATATTAATATAAATATAAATTCTTGAAGATATTTAATTGTATCATTTTTTTGTGAGGTAATATTAGAAAATATTAGCCTTTCTATGTTACATATAATAGTGTGAGACTAAATTTGACTTTGTTATCTAAATTTACATGTCATCACACACACACATGCGGATAGCTTTTGCTTGTTTATATACTTTAGTTGTTTTACTTTCCTTTTTGTTTGTTTTTAGATCATTATCATTGAGTTTATTGGCAAGTTCACTTCAACCGTCAAGCTTAATTGGAAACAGTGGTTGGTTTCTGTTGCCATTGCTATTATCAGGTCAGTGAGAGTTCTATGATATTTAGCATGTATTTCTTCCAAGTTTTGTTTTTAATGGTTGAATGACCATAATTTATAGGGAGGATTTTGTTGCTAATGTCACATGCAAGCAAAACTAATCATAGCAGCAACTCAGTTATAATTAAAGTAAATTAATAGTTAGTCCGTTTATACTCGACCCTTATTTTCAAAATTTAATTAGTCCCTCAGTTTTACCTTTGTTACACTTCTTAATCCTTTTAAAAAACTGTGAATTTAAGAGAAGGATCAAGTAGTGTAATAAAGACAAAATCGAGACTATAAAACTATGAAAATATGGATCCTGACTATTGCATTTTAGTATAACTAGAGGATTAAATACTAATTTACTCATTATTGTTACTAGTTAATGATGAAAATGAGAATCATATCATTATTAGTATTGTTGATTTATTGTTTTTATTTACTAATGAGAATCCTTTTTGCCTCTCTCTGTAGTTGGCCTCTTGCTGCTGTTGGAAAACTAATACCTGTACCAGATACTCCCTTGCACAAGTTCTTTCCAAGAAGATTTTTTGGACGTACAAATTCGTCAAGTAAGAATTTAGTTATAAAGTTAATTGTTTGTACTTGCATGTTTTGTTCCAATTTATATAAAAATGTGTTCTTTACTTGATGTCTCTGTCAGGTCAACCAGCTTAAGGCATGAGCTTTTTACAGGATTGCCATGAAGCCGTCTTTATACGAAGCCACCTGTTTACTCCTTTTGTGGCTTATAGGATGACACAAATTAACACGGACATTAACATACAGTTTTATCAAGACAGGTTTTTGGCAGCAAAATTTCTTTCCAAGGGTTTTTGAATTTGTTTGTTTCTTTTTTTAACAAATACTTGGGCCATTTTGCTGTTTCGGTTTTACTGTGTTTGTACAGAATTTTTTTTTATTCCAAATTAAATGCTTATATTCTGATATTATTCCTACACTTGCGGGGCCAACTTGGATGTTTTGTTCTATCAATGGTTGTCAAACTTGTTATCAGCAACAATGGAAAATACAGAAAGAGAACAAATAAAAAAAATTGAAGGCCTTTAAGGTTTCGAGGGGCGTAGGAAAACTTCATTCGCTCTTTCCCTTTTGGTCTAAAATCAAACTTGCGAAGGTCTGGATTGCAAGTTTTCTTTCCTACATTTTGCAAATATTTTGTTTATGGGCTCAAACTTTGCATCTTGTATCAATTTCACTCTAAATTCAACTTAACCTCTTAGGTACTCCAATTGAAACTTTTTGTTATTAATATACTCTAATTTGAAATTGATCAAAATTAGTGTATAAAATATACTCTCTAAGGTATAAAATATACTCTCTAATTTGAAATTGATCAAAAATTAGTGTATAAAATATACTCTCTTTGTTCTCTTCAGAAAAAATTTCCATTTAGAGTGTTTATTTTATATAGAGAATTTTACTTTAAATGAAAATTTTGAGAAGGATGTTTATTTTGATATGTAAACTCTAGATTACTCGAGAAAACATGGCGTACGACAAAAACAATCTTAAACCTCCAAACATCCAAATACAAATTATGACAAATATATTGAATAAAAGATAGAAACTATGAGTATTTTGTTTTATTTTGAAGCCATTGTAGAGTATTTTGCTTTACTCTAAACTTATCTCTTGATTATTTCTTCTCTAGTAATCTAGGATTGCCCTATTAAAACAAGATAAAATTTGAATTAAGGATGAAATTATAATTAAATGTGACCCCTAATTCGAATTCAAAGCACAATTATGACAATGTAATAGCCATAATTTGAATTCGATGTGCAGTTGTGATAAAACATTAAAATCAGAGTATCTAAGGATTAAGGTCGTTTTGGAGTGCAATTGTTACAAATGCCTAAATTTAGGGTATTTATAATTTAGCCAACTTATTTCTTGGGTTAAGTTAACTTAAGAATGAGTTATGAGATCCACATTTAATATATTTTATTCACTAATTTTGATCAATTTTGAATTATGGTTCAATTGTAACAAAAAAGTTACAATTGAAGTGCCTGAGCAGTTAAATTGGATTTAGAGTGTAGTTGCTAAAAGATGCAAAGTTTAAGCTTTATTAATGGTTTAGCTTTCTATTTATACACCAATAACTTTGAGACCAAATAAAATTAGGGTTAAGATTTTGCATAAAAAATAAAAAAAATGTTGCCTCCATTCATAAAGTTAACTTAAGCGCAAGCTATAGCAAAACACCGTTTGATGAGACAATTACTCTCATCCTCTTCTCCCCTTGTTCCATCGATTTCTCTCACTCTTTCTTTATTGTAATGCATTTGTAGATATTCTAGAATTATGAAAATTATGTTAATCAAAATGACACCTTTTTCTAATTTCCTTCTGTTTTATTAACCAAAATGACACCCTTTTCCAATTTCCTTCTATTTTGATAAAAACATTCCTGTTAACGTCTGAAAGAGAGATTTCTTTTTTTCTATGTTCACCTTAGATTATACGAATTGGGATAACAGATTTGGTATTTTCCTAACAAACAATAGTTTTCTACCGTCTATGATCTAAACAGGGAACCAAATAGAAATTCAAATGGTATAAAAATCGTGGAGATATAAATCAAAATCATTTGATCCAATATTGACAGAGGCAACATGCCATTAATCCATAGGAAAACACTATAGATAAAAGTGAAGAAAGGATGGAGGAGTATGGAAATAAAAGAGGCTAAAGGAAAAATGAACAATGAAAACGATAAATGGATTTTTGCAGTCGATTAAGCGTAATCTTTACAAATTAGTCTACACCCTATTTATAGTCCAAGTATAACCTATCCACAAGCTAATTGACTCTTTACAATTCAAATACAAATTAATTCGAATACGAAATAAGGTACAAAGTATTTTGAAACTGCTTATATCTATGTTTTACCTACAGTAAGTGGAAAATACATATGTTGCTCTAAATTATATTTTAATTAATACTTTTGTCTCTCTAATTTTGAGAAATAACTATGACCCTAACTTTTGCTTCTGTCCAAAAGGATTATTTTAGTTAGGGATGCCATTGTTATTTCTCAAAAGTAGAGGGATAAAGTGTTAATTATGACATAATTTAAGGACTAAGATGTATTTTATTGTACTTTAAATGATTACATTTAAAAAATGTTATTTTAGTCTTTTCATTTCAATTAACAATAAATAACTCCTTTTTGAATGAAAGGACTTGACAGTGAGACATAAGTAAAAGTTAAAGACATCATAGTTATTTTTTGAAAATAGAGAGGCAAAAGTGTTAAATGGAATATAATTTAGGGATCTATATATACTTTACAAATAGTAAATTTAATTGGTGACTCTATAAAATCCATTTGTGAACCTTACCCAAACGAGCGCTATGATTCATTTTCCAGTGGATTGGATTTAGCGCTCGGGTCGAGGTCTCACACAATCCCACCACCATCACCACCATTGCTTCGCCACTGCCTCAACACTCTACAATCACCACCACAACCACCATCTCAACCACTTTACCACCACCACTAATACGACCCTAGCCAATTAACAAGTACTCTTGCAAATCAACAAGGAACATCTAGCGGAAAGCATGCAATCTCGGAAGTACCCGACAATCCCACTGCCTCAACACTCTTACAATCACCACCACAACCACCATCTCAACCACTTTACCACCACCCACTAATACGACCCTAGCCAATAACCAAGTACTCTTTGCAAATCAACAAGGGAACATCTAGCGGAAGCATGCAATCTCGGAAGTACCCGACAATCCCTTTAACCCCCCAAGTACTCTTTTGAGAGAGGAAAGCAAGGGAATTTAGAACAAGAATCAGACAACTTTAACCCTTCAAGTACTCTTTGAAAACCAAATCTGAAATTCTTGGTGCAAAATTAATCTGTAGAAACTCACAAGGCTTAAAACTACTTAAGGATATTTTGGTTCTATGAAGAACACAATCTATTCTTTTAATCTCGATTATTGGTGTTTCCGTTTCATTATAAACGAGGGGTGCCATAGAGGCGAACTTACATCTCATCCTTTGATTCGATCCGTATCAAAGCTTATCCCTAATGTGGCCCAAATGGGCTTAATTAAATACAAGTCCAAGCTAACTACTTAAAACAATCCTAACTTAAACATTAACTAACTTAGGCTGACCCTACTCTAGAAAATAAGCCCAACCAACCTTACACATAATTAATTAAGTCCACTAAAAGAATTTAAACAAAATAGGGCAAATGGGCCGAAGGCCCTACACAACCCATACTTAAGCTCATAATAAGATAACAACCTAAACCTCCTAAATTTTGCCTAAGTATTAGAATCATGGTAAAATGGCAATCAAATGGCAAGCCTCAATTGCACGCCTCCAAGCATTCATTAACAAGCTTTGGGTGCTTCTTCAAGTTCAATCTCACATCTTCATAATTAATGATCTTGAAGCCAGTGGATTTGTTCGAGCCAAATTGCACATTCAAGGCTGCTCGTAACTTGGTTGCACGAGCTCTTGTGATTGGCGCGGCAGGTAGAGCTAAAGGATCCTTCATCTTGCTCCCTTGATCCGTATCATTCCCACCCTCCTCAAAAAGATTTGTCCTCAAATCTGAATCATAATCAAATGGAGAAAGGTCAGAGACATTAAAGGTAGCAGACACGCCATACGCGCCTGGTAGATCAATCTTGTAGGCGTTATCATTGATCCTCTCCAACACTTGAAAAGGCCTATCACCTCGGGTAGCAAGCTTTCCCTTCCTTTGGTTTGGAAATATTTCCTTCCTCATGTGCACCCAAACCCAATCTCTAGGTTGAAATATCACACGCATCCTTCCCTTGTTGGCACGGTCAGCATAGCTTTTGTTTTTCATTTCTATATGAGCCCTGTGTAACGCCCTGATTTTTCTGTGTCTAAAATAATAGTTTTGCCCTGGCCTGAGCATGTATCTCCCTGACTAATTTAGACTTAAAGGCAAAGGAAATAAATCAAGTACAGTTAAAGGATTAAAACCATACACAAGCTCAAATGGACTATAACCACTAGAAGAATGTATAGACCTCTATTATAAGCAAATTCAATGAAAGGCAAACAATCCTCCCAAGTTTTCAGATTCTTACCAACCACCGCTCTAAGTAAAGTTCCTAGAGTTCTGTTAACTACCTCAGTCTGTCCATCCGTTTGGGGATGACAAGTAGTAGAGTAAAGCAACTTTGTACCAAGCTTACCCCATAAAACACGCCAAAAGTGAGAAAGGAATTTGGCATCACGGTCTGAGACTATGGTGCGTGGCACCCCATGCAAGAGACAATGGTGCGTGGCACGCCATGCAATCTCACAACCTCCTTGAAAAATAACTCAGCTACATGGACAGCAGCATCGCTCTTATGGCATGAAATGAAATGTGCCATCTTATTAAATCTGTCCACAACAATAAAAATACTATCCCGACCACGCTTTGTCCTGGGCAATCCAAGCACAAAATCCATAGAAATATCAGTCCAAGGCAAAGCAGGTACAAGTAAAGGCATATAAAGACCATAAGGCACAGATTTAGACTTAGCTTGCTTACATGCAATACACACACCACATAGTTTGTCTACATCTCTACGCATATGTGGCCAAAAAAAATGTTCAGCAAGCATATCATATGTCTTAAGAATCCCAAAATGCCTTATAAGTCCCCCACAATGTGATTCTAATACAAGCAATTCACGCATAGAACATTTAGGTATAGAAAGTTTGTTTACCTTAAATAAATACCCCTCATGCCTAAAGAACTTGTTAAAGCCCCATGTTCATATGTGTGAATACCCAAATTTTAAGGCTCAGAAAGCCTGTTTTCCCGGACTGCAAACAGTCCGGCCGGACCGGAGGCTATTTCGGAAGTCCACTGAAAATATGTCAATATGGTACTTAAACCTAGAAAGTGCCATCGAGCCACAATATTTTCTTTCCTTGCTTGTATTAATCACAAAAGGAACGTTTCAATGAATTCAAACTGTTCAATGAATTCAACCCACTTACCATGTCTCTTGTTCAACTTACCTTGTCCCTTGAGGTGC